AAAGTACTTCTTCCACTGAAACTTTTTCCGCAAGTTTTACAAGAGTACGGCTTCTCGCCTCCGTGAGTTTTCATGTGAAGCATAAAAGTAGCCTGATGACAGAAACTTTTCTCACATGTTCCACAAGAATATGGCTTTTTCTCTTTGTGGATTGCTGTGTGTCTTTTGTGTGTTGATGTGTCAGAAAAACTTTTTCCACATGTGTTACAAACGTACGGCTTCTCGCCTGTATGAATTCTCATGTGAACTTTCAGATGCGCGCTATGAGTGAAGCGTTTTCCACATGTTGTACAAGAATGCGGCTTCACACCTGTGTGGATTATCATATGATGTTTAAGCTGTGATAAGAAAGTAAATCTTTTTCCACAGGTATGACAAAGGTAAGGCATCTCACCTGTGTGAATTCTCTTGTGGACTTTCAAATAGGATCTGAAACGAAATCTTCTCCCACAATTGCTACATGTGCATGGCTTCTCACCTGTATGAGTTCTCATGTGAAGCACCAAGTTCGCCTGACGACAGAAACTTTTCCCACATGTTCCACAAGAATGCGGCTTTTCCTCTTTGTGGATTGCTGTGTGCCTTTTATGTACTGCTGGGTCAGAAAATCTTTTTCCACAGGTTTTACAAGAGTACAGCTTCTCACCTGTGTGAGTTCTCATGTGGACTTTTAGCTGAGCTCTATAGCTGAAACTTTTCTCACATGACTTACAAGCAAACAGCTTCTCATCTGTATGACTGCTGTAATGTTTCTTCAGGTTGTACCTTTTTTTAAAGGTTTTTCCACAGACCTCACATGTGAAAGTCTTTCTCCCTGTGTCAGTTTCACAGTGACTCTCAGCCATGGGAGTGTTGTCTACATTGTTACTGTGACTGTTGTTTCTGTGATGTGTTGTCGTTTGCTTCAGCTCTGCATTTGTAGTTGGTCCTAAGTCTGCATGCTTGCTTCTTTCCTGATCTGACCTCTCAGCTACAAAAATGTTGTGACAGAGCAGCTGGTCGCTATTTGGTTCTGTGTCACTGTGGTCCCTTTCCTTATAAGTAGGAGTTGCTACAGAGGCAACCTCCTGTTCCTCTTGTTCCTCTTTAATCTGTGAGGATTCTGGGTCCTC